TTAAAAGAAAATAGGCTGAAATACTTTAAGAGAAAATAAATCTAAATTCCTTCTAAATTCCTCATATATACTATATATATTCTTTATCCTGACCTTTTGTTTCTCTACATTACAGATATGCAGTTTGAAATACTTAACTACTATTATAGAGATTTTATTTTAAGCATATCAGAGACTATGATTTATATTAATTACTTTTATTAAGTTGTCTGTAGAGTTTACTGTTAGAGCAGATCAAGCCAAGTATGTATTATAGGGAATTCCAAAAATAGCAAATAGAGAACTATAAACCTATTACACTATGCAGAAAAGTGAGACTCTTAAAATCGACATGGGAATCTAAGAATGACAAAAATTGTACATTAAAATATTACAAACGATGGTTGAATCTTACATTTCCATTGCTCTGCTTGGCCAGTCGATGGAACCGCAAGGCGGCTGTGACCGCTATGCTGGCCGCCTCATCGGTGGCCACATTCTGGCCATCGGCACAGCCCTTGACAATGGCGCTGAGGTGATCGAGGACGTCGCGTCGCGATTGCCGGTCCTGGAGTCCGTTGCGGGTGATGTGCTCGAAGGTGTCGTTGAAGAAGCACTCGAAGATGTAGTCCATGACCAGTCGGTGTCGCGGCAGCTGTCCGTGGCGCTGGTAACTGGCTCGGCTGCTCGCCACACGGGGCTGGCCGACCAATAGCCGGAAGCCACACAAATGTTGCGGCAATGTCACCAGCCACAGCGAAGCCAATTGTCGTTTTAATTGACTTACGAACTGCTGCAATGCCAACAGCAACTGCAACAACATGTTAGCAAATCAAATCACAACGGTTAATATGCAACAAATGCAATTTCCGGCCAGTTAATGGGCCAATTTCGAAAACACCAAAATACGTTAAACAAAGTTCAGCACACGGAAGTTGAGTGAAAGAAAAACTACGCGGACGAGAGAGACGGATAACATTTCGCTTCTAGGGGGTGAGCTACACACACAGTGAGAGCGAGAGAGAGCGTGAGTGAGCGAATGTGTGTAAGCGTCAACTCTCTGCTCTACGCGCTCTCCGCTCTCCTTATTGATTTTTTCATGCTGGCAATGATACGAAAGAAGACAACAAAAACAAAACGGCAAACGAATACAATGCGTAAACAAACAAAACTATTCACAAATTATTTGCATTTAATTAAATGTGGGAATAGCGTGCAACGAGCTGAATCAAGTTTTATATTCCACTTGTAATTTGTTTGGCTTTATATGTGATTCTGAGTGAATTTCTAGCAGCAACAGGTGGAACTTACACCTTGCGTCCCTTTGCAGTTATCTTGCAACTTACATCACTTCATGCAGCATTTAGCCAAATTATTTGCCGTATTTCACTCTCAACACGCAACGCTCAATTCAATAATTCGAGCTGTTCAAACGCCGACAAGCAACTGAACTGAACAAAACAACATAACCAACAAATGCTCATATCAAATGCTCAGCTGTTTTTACCTGCTCGCCGCGCTCTGTTGCTCTGCCGCTCTGCTGCTCTCTCTCTCTCTCTCTCACTCTTTCAGTCTCTCTGAATGGCTCACCCACACGTACTTAAATTTCAGCTCGCTGTCACTCTCTTTTCTTTAAGGTTCGTTTTTATTGAATTAAATTTTTTGAATCTCTATCAAGTTTGAAACTGAGATTCTAATCGACTTACTTATATGTAATTACAGTTATGTGAAAATTCCTCTGATTTCCCCCCGCTCCACCCTCCTCGTCAACACATAATTTGTATGCACGTAGTTTTAATTGAAATGCTCGCAAAATATTTATGATATATTTTATTAAATGCAATTGAAATGCAGACAATTTTTTGATATATTTATAAATATATATATTCAATATTTTTTTTGCCCTGTCTGGCTGATAATTTTATTTATTTGCATATGTTAATTCAATTTCAGTTTCTCATTTTTCACAGTTTATTCGAGGGTCTCGAATATGAGTAAGGAGAAACGCTTCAATGTTATTTATTTGTGGCTATGTTCATAATGTAATGTATCGTAATATATGCATATTCAGTGCCTGCATATCAATTACCCAGCTTCAATATTCATAATGTATTCGCGCGATATCTTCAATATTTACGCAGCAAATTATTTCATTACTACCGTCTGCTTGCATCTGAGGGCGGTTCCTTAATCGCTTGAATAAACAGAAGTTGATTAATAATGTACTGCTATATACCCTGAAGCCCAGATTAACAGTGAGATTTGTCACAAAACAAAAAAAAATTTTTTTTATTAAACAAAATGACGATATAGAAATATATTAAATCTACTCAAGTTGCGCGATAAATACCCTCTAAACTGGTTTAAGGTGGTATATTCTTATGAAAAGAACAAGCAAATGTTAGATATATAATGAGAGGCTAATTATATACATAGAAGCTTATATTGTCTGACATAAAGATACTTATTAATCAAATAAAACCGAGACAAAGGATAAATGTAGATAAATAAAACACATAATAAAACAAATAATTCAATACCTAACACTAGGTTATGCAAAATAACAAGAAAAATCGAAAAAATTCATGAATTTACCAACAATTTACAGTATACCCCATTCTACATGTCATCGTACAGGGTATTCAGCTGATAAAATCGCAAGATCTTATAATGTGCAGTCCATTAAAAAGTGAAAAGACATCAATTTCACCAGTGACTTTTATTATATTGTTCCATTTAAGGGGTGGCCCATCGAATATTGTGTCCGAAATGTAAACCGCGTATCGAACTGTAAAATAAATTGAATTAAATATGCATGCAATCAGCTATTGAGCACTATAATCAAGTAGATGCTGCAGGGCATCCCATACACACACACACACACGAACACACGAACACATTGGTTGTGTGAGGTATTCAAATAAATTGTGGTGCAACTGCACCGAAAACGGAAACAGAAATGCGACCACAACAAGCGCCACGTACGCAGCCAGACAAATTCAATATATGCAGATACCCAAAAAAAAAAATAAATAAATAAATAAAAACTGAGAGAGAAATGTATTGAAATCTGAAAAATCGAGCAGAAATGTGTGCGTAATAAATTCAATGGGAAAACACACAATGCAGATATTTACATAAATTTGTGACAGGAAACAAATAAATTGCACTTGGCGACAGCAAAACTAGCGAGAATGTGAAAAGTTTTAGAGATTTTGGAATGAATTTAAATATGCGACAATTTGTGTTGCTTTGGCAAGAAACAAATATGATTATTTTGCTGTTATAGTTTAAATCATTACGAATTTTTAACGAGGACAACAGGATGTGAAGAACTAAAATGATCGTTGGCTTTGACTTTAGTTGGCAAACTTTGCAAATCCTGCAAATTCGCGTCAACTCTTCCGAGAGTATAGCTTTCTTGAGTCTTTATTAATTTCCTAATCTTTTTTTTTTTTTTTTTAATACATAGAGCCCATTCGCTATGATGTCGAGTGAGTGAGTGAATGCGCTCTTAAAGCACTCGCTCATTTTACTGAAGACTCTAGGGTATGACTCTTAATGGCTTAGAGCCTTCACTAAAATGAGTGAGAATAACTGAAGTCTTAAAATGAAATGAAAAAGATGAGAAGGCGTCGGTCGAGTCACTTAAGTTTTTGCATGCATAAACGACTTCGTATTACTACTTCGCATTCGCTCGGCTCGGCTGCTTGAGGCTCGAGCAGTAAAAATATGACACGACAAAATCAGTGCACTCGAACATAAATGATCACTCTCTCTCTCTCTCTCTCTCTCTCTCTCTCTCTCTCCTTACTTTTTCTATCGGCCTATGATCTCTCCCTCTCTCTCTCTCTCTCTCTCTCTCTCTCTCTTTTACTCTTTCTATCGGCCTATGATCTCTCCCTCTCTCTCTCTCTCTCTTTTACTCTGTCTATCGCCCTATGCTCTCTCCCTCTATGTGCGCAACGATTATATTCTGTTCCTTCTGAGTGAAGATTATACGTACTCTTGTAAGAGTTTTTTATGCGCATGCAAAATGTTTGCGTTTACATGATTATTTATGGGAAGGGTATAAAAGCATTGATGGGCATTAAGAATATTACAGTCCCGTGCTTCATGCATAAACATCGTTTTGCCCATATGCGAACTTGACAACTCATTTACTCAACTCATTAACTCGCACTCCCAATCCAATTTTTGTTCGGCTGAATATTCTGCCCCTGAGTCATGTACGAGCGGACTTTTTAATTCGAATCCCGTTATTTTGCTGGCATTCATGCTGCTCTCTACTACATAAATGACAAATTAGTTTTTCTTGGAACTCAACTCTTCATCTCAAATGAACAGCAACAGATAAGAGTATTTAATTTAAATGCCATAAAATACTGCTGTATGTAAATAAATTTTAGCTTAAATGTTACGACCAACATCTTTCGAAATTTCTTGTCTATAATAATTTCTATAATAATAAATTATAAATTTAAAGTGAATTTTAAGCCATGAATGAAAAACTTTTTGTGCTTTAAGACTTTAAATATATATAGCGCTGTTACATGTACATATATTAATAACACATATACCATGCGTGCATATATATGTATATATATCCAGCAGCAATAATTTTTCTTCTGCTTCTCAGCATTGTATAAAATGTGCTCGCAGTAAATTGTGAAGTACTTCCGAAATCATTTACCAACTATCTGCAATGGCCAGGACACGCTCAAGTGACTTCAAGTGCTCATCTGTGTGTGTGTGTGTGTGTGTGGGTGTGTGTATGTGCCTTTGTATGTCTCTCAATGTTGACATACATTAGCCATGTGCCGGCAATAAATTGCAGACGATTGTAGCCGCCTTTAAGCTCAAACGTAGTCAATATGAAGTGCCCTCGCCGAGTGCTGGGACTAGTTTTAAGCGAGTGTCCCTAAATCATTTTCTTATCGCTAGTTGAAGTTAACTTTTGATTGTAATTTGTAATGTCTCTCTCATTCCCTCACTCTCTGTCTCTCTCTCTCTCTTTGCAGCCTGCTGTGCCAGGAGATCAACCAGGATGATTCGTTTAATCTGGAATATCGCGGGCCGGTCATTATGAAAGGCAAGCCGACGCCAATGGACTGCTGGTTCCTGACACGTGCCAACAGCGCCCTAAATGCGAGCAGCAGCGGCAACGGCAGCCTCGACTCGCCGCAGCTGCAGCCCACAACGCCAACGGCCACATCGCAGCGCCTGATGATGGGCTTGGGGCATGCCCCAGTCTCACGTACGTCCTCGGCGAGCGGCAGCGGTGGCGGTGGTGGCGGTGGTAGCGGCGGTGCAGCCGCAACGGGTCCTGTGGTGCCACCAGATGCATAGGAAATGCAAATAAACTGTAAATCTACGTGCAACTCCTTGACTTCACCAGCCAAGCGACTATCTAACTGAATGTGTATGTGGGTGTGTGTGTGTGTGCGTGTGTGTGTGTGTGACTGAGCCACTTAACCACTTCATTTCAATGCATTTGTCCTCTGCGTGTGTGTGCATCTGTGTGTGACTGTTGCTGCTGCTGCTGCTGTGGCTCTGGCTCTGGCTCTGGCAGCGACTCAAGAAGCTGGCATCGGAATGTGTTGTGGATACTGTGGATGGATCGCTGTGCAAGGTAATTTATGTTAATGCTCTAACAACTGTAACCACTACACAAAAGATATATAGAATGGGCGCTAGAGTCAATGGGTGGCGCTCACACAAGCTAGTTTACAAATGATTTACAATTCTTCAGCGATTACGCTGCGTATACGTAATTTATGGGCATATTTACAAGGCTTATTTGTACTGCATGAATCAAAGGCGTCTATCTGGTTTACAAAATTAGCATTATGTATCATTTCTATGCCGGCGCACTCCGTGGCTGTGGCCATTAGTTAAAGTGTTATGCGATTGGCAGCCGGGCTATAAAAGCGAAGCACATCCTATACAAGTGTTCATACTGTTTGCCCAAACGCCGCCGCTTGTGCCGTAAACTAGATAAGTCCAAAACAACTCAATATAAAAGCCATAATATGGCAAACAGTTAAATATACACACATACATATATATGTATTTGTATGTCTATCTCGGGTTTGCAGTAGCAGCTGCCGGGACCAAGGCACGACACGCTTCTCTCACATTTTGTAGCATACTTTGCGGAGCAGCCGAAAGGATTGTCAACAGCAACGAGCGAAATGTTTGCATTTATCTTGTCTGTGTGTGGGTGTGTATGTGTGTATTTGTTTTTTGTTTACAAAAGTTCGGCTAGCCTCTTTCTGCGCCTGTGACTGCAAGCGTGATATATATACATATATATCTATACACTTAGGATATCAGCAGTAGACCACAACAAAATGAGCTTTGCCATGAGCTAGAAAGAAAGAGCACCAAAGTTTAGGAATTTAACACATATTTTCATATCAAATATTTGGCATGAACAAACAACCGCAGAAGCAGAAAGGCTGCCATGCAAGAAACAACAGAACAAAAAATGTAAATTTGCGAGGGTTGCCCGACAAATTGCCAATTATAAAGCATAATTGAAATGCAAATAACAAAGTTTGTCTAATTACCAAAAGTCAGAGAGAGAGAGAGAGAGAGAGAGAAATATAATGAATACTTTTAAATAAATTAATTTCTATATTATTTTTCAATTATCCGTTATGACTTATCCCTAGATCCTTTTGAGCCCGTCTTGGGACTTTCAAATTATAACAAAAATGCCAAAAGGAATTAGTAAATTAATTTTCGTGTTTTCCTTCAAAAAAATATTAGAATCTAGTACAGACCTAGACCTTAAAGAAGTATGTATATCTTACATATATATGTTAGAAAGTTCTTTTAGATGATCCCTATGATAATCATTAGATATTGTGTAACGTTAATCTATTTCTAGCAAACGCACACAAATCAAATATGTTATTTATGCGTTAACAGCTATGTTAACAGCTATGTTAAAAGTGTGACAAATAGCTGCCTGGAAATTGTCAGCGACCCTCGCGCTGTCATGTAACTCAAGTTTATCTTCAAGCCAACAAAACTTTGTTAATGTATATGGGCATTGAGACACAGGCACAACAAATCGCATTAAACGCCCAAAAGACGGCCCATGCACACAGATTCACAGATACACAAATACATAGACAAATACTGGCGACAGATTTGGCGAGAGTTGCTCATAGACTTGCATACGAATTTGTTTGGAAAGTGTTCGTGTGTGGGCGTGGCATTTTATATTGGCTCTCAATGTCTGTTTATGGCCTCGATATGCCGACATTATCGTTAAATGTTAACAATAACAATAACAATAATAGCAACAACAATGCAATTTGATGACTTGCAGGCTGGAAGGCATTTTGATGATGATGCCATACAAATACGTGTGTGACGTGTGTGTGTGTGTGTGTGTGTGTGTGTGTGTGTGTGTGTGTGTGTCAGTGTGTGTGTGTGTGTGTGTGAGTGCCTCTAACGATGGCTCGTTAGAAATGGATTAACATTGATTAGTTGTCGCATTTTTCTCTCTTTTCTATATACATACATACATATTTTATTTTACTAGCGCACAAACAATAATTAGAAGGGTAAAAGAAATGCTTGGCAAGCACATTTCACATAAATTATATAAATCACATTTCCGTCTCGGTCAGCAGCTCATTTACATTCATAACGAATGCAGGCAGCACAAAAGATTCAAATTAAGGTCTTTAGCCAGAAATGGGATTGGTTTTGGGCAAAGAAAGTTTTTAGCTGCGCAACGGCCTGCTCTAACTTGGATTAGGCTACAAAAATAAGCCCTGGCATTTTCTTTTATTTAATATCATAAAATATTCGATGCGTATACTGCCTGTCTGTATAATTTCTAACGGGACCTTAATGTAATGCAAGCTGAAATTATGAGGAAAATCTGTTTTTAAGCTTGAACACAAAAACTTTGAATGATAACAGCGGATATTTTCAGTTGGTAAATAACATTTATTGTAGCTAAATATGTTTAGAAATGTTCAAAGTGAATCTATAAAGTTAGATTTGCCTGTACGAGAGCTACTTATACGAACCTCTTCTGATTGCTTAATTTAAATACTTCTTTAAAAGTAACTCTTCATTCTGTCATACAATATTTCATTCTTTACTCATACTTCAATAGACTTTAATATTGGTAGAGACTCAATGAAAAATTTAATAGACTCAACAACTTTTCACTTAAAGAGTGTGTCTCTTTTTGGATGAGCATAATCGAATATACACCTGCTCGTTTCTTAGGGAAACACGGCATAAGTAAGCTTGTCTATCCAGCAGGAAACCATATTAAATATGCTTCGTTGGCTGAAAATTCTTGCAACACTTTCGTCACGCTGCCTGCTCCAAGCATCCGGTTGCCCCCAGCTACTGCTTGCTGTTACCTTCTAATAACGGCACTTTTTTCATATTTCTTCTATATATACACATATATATATATATATATATCTGTATATATATATTTGACATCCGGTTTATTTGGCCAGGATGTTGACTCCAGTTGTCCGCTTTTGGCCTCTTTAAATTTGAAGAGCTTCAATCCTTGTATATTTTTGATGGGCCTTCGATATGAATGAATGCTGCCGGCCCTTGGACACCCCAGTTTTGTAGCTGTAATTAATTTAGCTGAATGCACTTACTTATTCAGCATTATTCATTTGCTTTGAATGCGCAAACTAAAAACACTCTAATGAGCTCTTAATTAGGTTTGCGCGTCTTCGAACCGCTTGCCCCTCCCTCATTTATAATCCTTGCACCGGTTTTCAAATATAAATACCTATACAAATATATAGTAAAATTTCTTTACATTTCCGTGCTGTTTACAGTTCATGGACTTATATATATACATATATAGCTACCGTACTCTAGCATTTTTATATTTACTTTATTTTCCTTTTTTAATTTTCGCGCACAATTTGGTTTGCTGTTCGCGTCGCTCACATTTCAAATACTCAAATGCAAATCCCGAAACCAATCAAATAAATATTTGCCTAACTAAATACAACATCTTCTCACGCAGCCTTCGCCGGATGCTGCCCATGATTCCATCCAGTTCTCAGCTCAAGGTCGAGCCATACAAAAAATTTAGTTCAAATTGCAAGTGACAGGCTAAGCGGCTGCCACTGCCGCTGCCACTGCTGAGGCTGCTGCTGATGCTGCTTATACTTCTGGTTCGTTCTCCAGTTCGAGTTGGGTTTTTCTCATTAAAAATTCATAAAGATGGAAATTATGATTGCGATGAGCCGCCAACGACAAAATGTCAGAGGCAATGCTGCTGCCTTTCAGTAGGCCAGAGGCAGGTGGGAATCGCAGATGGCACACAACAGCAGTAAAAATTATGAAAAATTGCCCTAGCTACCCTTAAATACCCTGGCATTCTTATGCAAATGTTTCACATGAATTTGTAGTTGAATAACCAGATTCTCGATTTCCACAAAAGGCTTTATTTTTGCACAATTATTCCACATTCAATTGGCAAACCTCGCATATTTTCTACTGGGCATATTTTGATGGAAGTCAAGGGAACTTAGTAGGCTTGATGATACGACTGAGCTCTTGAGCAGATACCTTTTTATCTCACTTCTAATCAGGGTCTCTTCTATCTACTGCCAAGCAGAGCAAACAACTTGGCATAACTAATATGCCCTACAGCAGCCACTCATAATACGGCAAGGCACAAAAGCTGAGCCAGATAATAATATGTCTAACGTTAATGCTGATGACAACGACTATGTCAATGATGATAATGTGCTCGAGCGCTTCATCCGCTGCGGCCCACTCGCAGGCGTGACTTTTTAGAGAAAAATTACGCATACGCCGTGTGTGCAATGCCAAAATATGAACACGAGAGGGAAAAAAAGGGCTGCAAGTGGCGACAAACATCTGGCGCATGTGTTGCGCATTCTAATAGAAACAACTCACACGTTGGCACCGCTGCGTGGCCCGAAAGGTCTGCTGGAAAGAAGCTCAAAGGCACATTTCATATTGAATTATTTTTGATGTCCTTCTTGAGAGAGCCAACGCAACTTAAGGCCCTTTACTATTTACTTTACACTCAGGTACCATAGCTTCAATTCACTTGTGCAATCGTGGGCAAAAACTTTTGGGCCACATTTTCAGTTTTGGTCCCAAAGTTGTGCCCTTTGATTATTGCTAGCGAAAAGTTTTATGGCTTCAACTCTGTGGCATTAATAAATGATACCTAGTTGTGTCCATAAAGTGTCTCTCAGTTCAGTCCAGTTCCCAGCTCCATTAAATACAGTTGTGTGGGCGTATGTGTGTGTGTGTTTGTGTGTGAGTGTGTGGCCGAACAGTAGATCAAAGTTAAGTTCCCATTGCGATTGTCCCACAATTCAAATTAACTCACAGACAACATTGGGCTTACGCACACTTACGTTGAATCTCTATGTAAATATGAGAGTCAGGACTTAATCGAAAACTCGGCACTAATTTCAATTAAAGTTGAAACGCCTGCAAACACTCACTGGAACGCACACCCGCCCGGCGACAATGCACGATTTAACAACAGCATTAACTAAACGCCACTCAGGCCCGCCCCTCTACCACATAGACAAACAGACGAACGCACTGACAGACAGACAGTCGACAAACAGACGCCTTTCATTTGCATAAATTGCCAAGGACATGCGCATGCAGCGCTCTCTGCCCCACTCTGCTGCAATTGCTATGCCACAATTTGTTGCAGCTGCCACAAACACACACACACACACACATACAGCCGTTGCAAGTGAATGCTGCCACGAAATGTTGCCTACAACAAATCAATTTGATTCGAGCTTAGCATATTTAATTGAACTACAATGCTTGTTACGCCCAGCCAGCCCAGCTTGTGGTGCGCTCACGCCAGCTGGCATACACTGCGCAAAATTGGCAGTATGGATGTCCCATGATTGCAATAAAAACAATATGAAATAAAATCCAGCTTTGAGGCAGCTCCGACTATCAATTCGGCCAGCGTTTAAATTTTCCTCCCCTCCCTCCTCTAAACACTCTTTGTGGGTTTACATAACAGCTGCTTGCACCTGTATACCCATAATTATTATGGCAATGCATTTACAAATTGCTTGCTCTCAGCTAAATGTGAAATGCAAATTCAAAGCTGTGGCAAATTAATTAAATACATTATACAATGGACAAAAATGGTTTTAACAATAAGCTGCAGAGAAACGTTTTGGTTTGAAAAGTTAATTAAAGCTGAGAGCAAAATATTTCAGCAAAAAGCAAAATGCTTAGCTCTTAAATTCTCTGTATTTGTATTTTATTCTACAGAGATTTAAAATGTGAAATAAATGCAGGAATTGCCGAGAAATAAATACACAATTTAATGAATATCATAATATGTGAAATTTTAGAAATACATTTGTTAAAAATTCGCACTGGAATTCTCACTTTTTTATACATTCAGAAGCAAACAAAGAAATCACAGTTTAATGAAAATTTTTTATTAAACATTCCTAATAAATTCATATTAAACTCTGATAAATAAACATTAAATACACATCTACCTAAAAACCGCACAACAGTCTAAAACAAACTAATTAGATTTCAGCTGCCTGCAGAATAATTTCATTATATTTTCTTTCAATTCGCCAGCATAAAATGTCCAAAGCAAATTCCAATCTAGCGGAAAAAATAAAACAATTTTATTTATTTGTGCACAATTGCATTATAGATAGCGTATATCTTTGCCCTGGTTTTTGTTTCAGCTCCGCATCAAAAGCGACGTGAGACAAAAACCAACCAATAAAAGAGAGCAGACACAAATAGATTGTAAAAGTGCAAAAAAAAAAAAAAAAAAAAAATAGAGCAGCGGCCACAGCCACAATGAGGGCAGCGCTTACAGTGTTTACAGGTTTACGGCTAAAGTTCCGCCTTACCGGGCGTATGCGCAATATTTGGCATGAACCAAAAGGCCAAAGCGCTGTACAGTCAGACAGGGTCCCGGCGCGTGCATTTGATTTGTGGGCTATAAAGTTCGTACCCGAGTTGTGATATTTACAATTTTAATTCAATTTTCTCCATAGCAGTCCATGTCCAACCAACTCAGGCCAATCTCCACGAATGCCAGCTGTCCGCCCAAGTCACTTGCTGCTGCCGTTGCTGCCGTTGCTGCTGCTGTTGCTGCTGTTGCTGCTGTTGCTGCTATTTTTGCGCATTCGACTAATCGATAGTTTATGTGCCTTAGATGCAAGTACATTTAAGCCAAATGGAGAGCGGGCCAGTCAATTCAATGACAGCTCAGCCCAAGGACAGATGCCGTCCGCAAGGACCCCCCGAGCATCGTGTTGTTGTTTAATTGTCTGTAAAATTGTTAAATTGCTTAGCGTGTCATTCTCTTACTATGTACATATGTCTGCGTGTGTTTGTGTGTGTGTGTTCGCCTGTCAACGGCTTACGGTTTACATGCATGTGCAATTACGATCAACCACTCAGTGCCACTCAGACACCGCCCCATGTCATACCGCCCAAGCATTTTCAATCCCAGCAATTGTCATGCATTAAAAATTTAAACGCTTTCGCACAATTTGTTCGCAGTGAACTTTACTGCAAATTTTATAACTTCCGTTTGACATTAGAAACAATTCTGAATATATAAACTTATAGATGACAGAGCTAATGAGAAAGAGCAACGAGTGCCAATGACATCTCTTAAAATCTATCCCTCCCTCCCTTTCACTTCTCTCACACACAAAGCAGTAATTCAGACAACTGAGAAAATCTGCTTATATTAATTTAATATTCCTTTAATTTAATATTCCCTAATATATCTATTCGATATTTAGTACTTGGCCAGGGCAGATAAAAGACATTTTGGAGCCAGCAGAAAGAAATAAGAAATCAAATATTTTGGCCAATCAAACTGTTCAGCTAACGGTATAAATAAACGTCTCTTGGCAGACATTTGAGCTTTCGTTGGCTTCTGTAGTGAAACTTTACGTGATTGCAATTTTTAATTTTCGACCGTCAGACGACGAGACGGACGCAAATAAAGATAACGGTATGCTGTGTTTGAACTGACTCTTTTCTTTCTTCTTCTTGATTTTTTTTATTTATTTATTTTTATTTTTTTTTTATTTTTTTTTTATTTTTGGCAAACAAAAGTTGTTTAGAGCCTTTGTAGTTTGTTGTTGTTGTTGTAGTTGTTATTCGGGCCACGCAGTTGGCATACGAAACGAGGCATACAACAAAAGTTGCCACGCTGCGGCCAGGTTTCAACTTTGACACTGACACTGTTGCCCCGGCTCTGTTTTGCTTGGCTCAATTCGGTTTCGCCTGCCTGTCCTGGCTCGGCTCGGCTTGGCAACGTAATTGGCCGTAAAGGGTTCAAATTGAATTGTAAGCGCATAGAAAGCCAGAAGCAGCAAAAAATAGGTAAACGAGCTGAGAGCCATGCAACATGACTGACTAGAAGGTGCTCTGTAATTAGCTCTAAGGGCATCTATCATGAAGCAAACATATTTCTCAAGGTAATCTTTATACAATACAAACTTTTGCTCTATATAAATGATATATAAGTACTTCTATAAATACATATTCACGCATATATAGAGATGATATAAGTAGACTCCACATGCAGTAAACTTGATTATATGATCAATAAAATTAATTACATAGATTTTTTCTACTAATTCCCTTGACCTGTTGCATAAACTCGTGCAAACCCCTGATACCCCTTAACCCACTTACCCATTCTAGAGGGTATAACAAAGAATAAAAACCAAAGCCAAAACAAACAAAACCCAATAGAGCGCAAATAAAAGGCGCTGTCGTTTTGGGTTTTGATTTTTAATTCAACCGCATTTATGGCCAAGCTAAAAACTTTATGAACTTTTCATTTGCACAAGGCTTCAATTATATACAGTTTTATATAGACTATATCTATTTCATATATACATATATATATATATATATATATGCTCTTTTCTCATTTCAGCAATCGACAGATTAAAGGAACCCATATTGTAACTACTCGTCTGTTGTAATTAGTAAGTAGAGAGGTGTGTGTGTTTGTGTGTGTGAACGATTATTTCAAACTGTACAAAAACCAAAACAAAAAAAAAAGGAAAGGAAAATTTAAATGAGTTAAATATATATACATGTATTTATGCGTCGAGGCTTTTATGAGTGTATTTTGTGAATAAGCTCGAGACGTGAGTTTATATTTATTTTTCTACTTTGTGATGGTTTCTTAGGCTGAACTTTTTGTGCTTTGTACTATAGGTGTAATTTATGTAGGCTCTACTCAAACATACATATATGTAACTCTAACTCTGTATAAGTATGCTTAACCAGAACTTCATTGAAAATGCAAAACAAGAGCTCATATGCAAAAAGAACTGTATAAACATGTCTATGAGTCCGTCGAGTAAGGCAAATATTCTAATCCACACATTGGACACTAATTAAGCGAAACTTAACTCGTTAATACTTAAGTATACCACAAGGCACCAAATGTACGTTAGCAACTGTAGCACAGTCAATGGTTACCTAATGCTGAATATGCTGAATACGCTGAATGCTGAATGCAGAATGCTGAATGCTATATACATGGAATCTACGGAATGGCTTTGCACCCAACTTCTATACAGGGCTACTGACCAGAAAACCAAATGTTAGCTAACTCAAATGCACCAAAGACGAAACTTGTAATCAAGTAACTAACAAGATAACCAAATAAAGTACCAATTAAATACCAAATGAAGTACCAAATAAATACTCAATATATACAAGAATACCAAATAAATACGAAATATATATAAATAGATACATACATACATGTATGTAATATCTACAGCAAACCAAATGTTAAATATCTTAAGTAAATATAAATCTAACCAAAGGAATATAAAAACTAAATCAAGCGCATCCAGAACCAGTAATAAAAAAATACCTAAGTAAATATACTAAAATACTAAAGATATTATTTGTGAAATTTCCTGTACATTGATTAAACTATTGGCAATATACATCTATAAGTGTTATGAAGACAAATCTCTACAAGTAAAACTATACTTTAAACTGAAAATAGCTTTATAGTTCTTAAGCCAGCCGATTCGAGGAGGAGACACAAGAAATACGCAAGCATTATAATCCCGAAATATCAACAGTGTAATCACAGCTATAGAAAGCGAAAAACAGATATATTTATAAGAGAACAAAATATATATATACACAAGATAAAGCATCCATTAGATACTAAACTGTTCAGCTGAAAGAGTTCTATGTAAGTCCTGTAAGAAATATATAGTTATGGCCATAGATCGCATAGAGCTGTTCGTTTGTTGCACGTGTTCTATAGAGAGAGTTGGGCGCAGTTTGAGAGAGTTCGTGGCAAGTTCTATATATTGTAAATTATGCAGGTAAAGCTGAAACGGCATCTCTGTCTCTACTTATTCTCTCAACAGTCTCTCGTTCTGTCTCTCACTCTCTTGCTCTACTTAATGTGTAAATGTTAAATATTTTAATAATATAATGATAAATAAATAAATAAATATATATATATACATGCATATATGTAACCTAAACTAAATATTAATAAAAATATCTAATTGAGCCCTGAAATTCTTGAAAGTTGTTTTCATTTTTTAATATGATAATACAAAAAAATCGGATTACTTTTGTTTAATTACCATAGCTTATTCATACATTTTATTGTCTACTTTACACAATATATAAATTGTATTGTATAACAATTTTTTATTTATTATATTTACTTTCTAAAGAATTCAGATTAAATATTGATTTATACATAAATATATTTAATATTTATTGTACATATTTATATTTTTTAAATATATATTTTTTACAATCTTAAACATTCTATCAACTACAAAAATAATAAATACAGGACATTTGATGTGTGTTTTAAATTTATTTTATATCGCGAGTCGACAGCTGACACAACCACAGAGATAAAACCCATCACACGATTTGCGTTATACGCCTCATTAGCGTGCTAATCAAATCTGCTCATTCTCAATCTCGTTCGCAATCCCATTTCCATTTCCATTTGCATTCCCATTCCCATTCCCATCCACATTCCCTCTCAGCACGCGCTTGGGGCGTTTCGGCAGCAAAGCGGCAGCTGCCTCCGCCTCCTCCTTGGCAATTCTTTCGCGTATCCAATAGCTGGCCCCACAGACCACGAGCAGCAGGCTGGGTATCACAATCAGCAGTACCATGCCCAGCGAGATGCTTGCCACACGTGCCGCGTGCTCTTCGTGACCTGTAAGATGTTGGCCAAATGGTGTCATAATAACGAAAGTTGATAGTAAAAATGGCGGCCTTAACTGAAACCATCTTTTTTCTTTTTTTTTTTTTTTGGCTAGTGGAAAACACCTGATTGCGGTTAGCGTGTGCAAGGCCCAGTAGCTTCTGAATATAATGAACTAATTTATTTGCATTATATTATTTTATACTATTTTTTATAAATATGCTAATCTCTAATCTCTGATCTCGATGTCTATTACTTGAATATTTTGTTTGGATTTGAAACACTATAGAATAGAGCTTCATAGATTCACTACATGATAAATTTGATGCGCTGCTAAAGGTTTTCTAGCATATTAAATATTTATAAATTATAAACAAATCTACTCACTATAGATTTCATAAATTAAGCAACCATTCAGACGTATCATCCATTAGTGCTCCAAGTGATTCTAACTAGTTGCCTACTTTTGAGCGCAACTGTCGTTCGCGAGTGCTTCAACGCCATGACAGACAAGACACACATGCCCAAGCACACACACAAGCACACCCACACCCACACACATGCACACATACATACACTCACTGACTCACTCGCAGATAACTAACGGCAACTTGTCCATCAATTTGCTCAAGATTGATTGACAACAGCTTAATGCACACAATACATTTGCCAGGAGGCGTGGCTGTACGCCCTGCGTGTGTGTGTGTGCTAGGGAATGGGGACGTGTCATGGCTACGTCCAGGGCGGACACCAAAGCACGTGACAGTTGGCTCAAGATTAATGTCTTCGGTTCTGACCCTATTGCTTCGTTATAAATTTCGTAGCAATTTCTTTGCACTGCAAGTGCACATAACACACTATCCAACAAAATACAGATCCAACTAATGAGATGAGATTAGCTTGTTATTATTATTGCTATTGTTCAAAGTGTGAATAGGAGAAGATATAAACTATCAAGCGAGCATTATTCTCTTTAAGAGCTTCGATGACTATTAGCTTTTCTCTGCTTTCTTACATTCATGCTCTTAATAATCAATTTAGAGAATCTATAAGCTGATAGAAGGTTTAATATAATGGCTGATCTACTTTCATCTATCTAGACTAAAAAATACTAAATACAATAATTAATACAAAATATGTAAGTTAGTCAAATAAACCGAATTTTAATTTTAAAACTCATTCTCATAATATTTAATAAAACGTAGGTCTCTTTTCAACTATCATTTCCTTCTTTTGCTGTCTAGTGTAAGAAGGGAATGCAATTTGGCAACGCTCGTTTTGCAAATTATTACAGAAAATTGACATGCGATTCGCGCTCGTTGGCTTTAAGACAGGTATTTTAACCCAGCTAGCAGAATTTTAGAATTTATATAGTTTTTTGAGATGATATCGAGAGATGTGAAGCGAAGTGTCAAGATTCATGTAACAATTGGCATTATCCGAGCACGCTATAAGCTATAGATATAAAGAGTGAAATATACGTCTATTAACAAAGATTTTATTTATAAAATGATGAAAATTGCATACAAATTGACGAAACACATTTTTGTAATCGCTTAAGCCGATTATTCATGAGGTATTTAAATACAAATTATATGCGGTCTGGGCTATTTGAGCACAGCGTGGGAGGTATTTGCTTAAAGGTCATGGCAACAACAACAAACCAAAAAAATAATAATAAGGGTATTTTGATGACAGGTGGGGCAATTAGCAGTGTGTATAATAATTATTTAAGTTTAGATAAAAATATACATGTTATATATACGATATATGAAATTAGTTATACAAAATTTGAACTTTTTAGCCTGTGCAGGGAAGGCAAATGTTTGTGTGTGTGTGTGTGTGTGTGTGAGTGTGTGTTGGTGTGCTAAACCTCTGTGGATTTTTGCACCGATGGTGTTGGGGATGTGGTGAAGGGCGGCGGCGAGGGCAGCCCGCTGTCCTGTGTCAGTGTTGTTGCAGGCGCTACTCGCAGAGGCGTGGCATTTGTTGTTGTTGCCGCCGGCACACCCGAGGCTGGCCTATTGTAGTACTGCGTGTTGCTGGGCAACACGGGCACGCCCCCAAAGCGATTCTGGGCCGCCGACTGGGGCGTGTAGTTGATGGAGCTGGCTGCACTGGTGCGACTGTCGACCCCGCTGAACGTGGGACTGTATTGCTGCTGGTGCAGCTGGTCGGCCTCCTCGGGCGAGAGCGGTTGGTGATAGCCAGCCGGATGGATTTGGCCAGTGTGCACGTCGGCCTCGTCGAAGTCATCGTCCTCCTCCGGCTCGCGCTGACCCTCCTGGTGCTGGTCCAGTTCGGTGCCGGATGCGGAGCGCAGGGAGCGACGGCCGGTCTGCTTGGGTTTCTCACCTGTTGCGTGGGCAACGTTATTTTGATTAATGTAGGAAATATCCTTGGCTACTTTTGTGCTAGTTCTATTATCACTACCTTCCGATGAGGTCACATCCTCGTCCTGCATGTCCAGATCCCATTTCTTAGCTGGAAAATCAATTTGCGGTTTGCCCGGTAATGGTTCGTTCGTGCGATATACTTTATCGTAGGACCTACTTTTTTTCAGCGTGCTCGCATCGGTATCGCTATCGTCCTCGGGATCGTAGTTCAACACGCGCAAATTGCGCGACGAACCGGCACGGGAGCGGGGCAGGGTCATCTGCCAGTGTGGATCCTCCTTCAGCTGCTTCTGACGATAGCGATAGACGCCGCACACGATGCACAGCATCAACGGGCATATAACGAGCAGGATAATGCCAATTGCAATGAATGCGATACGACGCGTGTAATACACCTCACCTATGCGCAACACAAAACAAGGTCAGCTCAAGCGGCTCAAAGGCAAAATGGTTTCACTCAGATGCAAGCAGGAATATGAAAACTTACGCAGACACTCCGTATAGCCATACTCGGGCAGATTCCAGAGGCCATTGGCCAGGCACTCGCGTCGCTGATCGCCGATCAGAATGAAGCCCTCGTTGCACTCAAAGGAGACCTTTGCACCGGGCATAAAGTCAAAGCTGAGCTTGCGTCCGAAACGCGGCGTTTGCAACACGCCGCAGGAGACAACGCGCCTGGAAGAGGAATTAGTAAAGTAAAGATTCTCTCTAGCCAAGTGTATATCTTGAGCTCCACTCACTTGGCGTTCTCTTCTTGCATGTTGACCAGACTGTCATAGTAGTTCTTGGTGAAGTGTGCCAAGTCTCGATTCAACGTCATCGCATAATCATATTGACACTGCGAGCACTCGCCGCACAGCTCCTCGGCACGCTCCAGATCATAGCTGCGATTGCTGGGCAGGAAGTCGGCGGGATCCATGACGAAGTTCGGCTGGAATGTGGCATTCGAGTAGTAGCTGGCCATGCGTCCGAACTCGCGCGTAAACAGCGCTGCGCCCACATTGGGCACATCCCGATCCGTCAGCATCCACTTGAGGCCAAAGTTGTTGTACAAGCTGCGCTGGTCGTTCACGTTGATCGAGGCCACCTGGCCATTGGGCAGCGTGAAGTCGTCCATGGGATTGAAGCTCCAGTTGCCGAACAAGCCAACCGTTTTATTCTACAACAACAAACAGTCACATATTAATAGGGATGTTCCCCCTCTGCTGCGAGAGCGACCTACAATAAATTTCCAGGGCAGAAAGACGCGTCCCGTCATGAAGCCTTCGTTCTCAACCACCTCCACGCCAATGCCTGCATCGAATTGCACGACCACCTGCGACTGGTTCAGCAGATAGGTGGGCGTATAGACCGTCACGCCATCGAAGTGCTGGAACTTCAAGCTCTCGCGATCGAAGTACACCTTGCGTCCGTCCGCCAGGACATCCAGGCGATAGCGCCATCGCGCGTGCAGCGGACGCAGACGCACCTCGATCGTGGTAGTCGTATTGCCACGCATGGCCAGGGCCGTCAGCTGGGTGGCCATCACCTGGCCATAGTAGTTGGGCGGCA